TTGGAAGGGTTTTTGTCGAGCTCTTGGTGCCACGGTGAGCTTATCTTCTGGTTATCACCCCCAAACTAACGGTCAGTCTGAACGGTGCAACCAAGCCCTTGAGTCCTCTCTCCGCTGTATCATTGAGGATAACCCTGCGGATTGGTCCTCTCTCCTTCCCTGGGTCGAGTATGCCCATAATTCCCACACGTCCTCAGCTACTGGTCTCTCCCCATTTGAGGCATCTCTGGGTTACCTGCCCCCTCTGTTTCCCCACCAGGAGGTCGATGTGTCTGTCCCCTCAGTCCAGCACCATCTACATCGTTGCAGACAAATCTGGAGGCAGACCAGGGAGGTTCTTCTACGGACTCGTGATCGGGCCAAAAGGTGGGCTGATCGTCACCGTGCCCCGGCTCCTCTGTATTCCGTGGGGCAAAAGGTATGGCTCTCCACCCAGAACATCCCCCTCAAGGACACCTCCAGGAAGCTGGGACCCAGGTTCATTGGCCCCTTTCCTATTATCGAACTTGTTAATCCCACGGCCGTCAAGCTCCGACTCCCTCGCTCTATGCGAGTTCATCCGACTTTTCACGTTTCTCAACTCAAACCTTTCGTGGAGGATCCGTTGCTTCCTTCCGACCCGGATCGTCCGCCCCCTCGCCTTGTTGATAATCAGCCTGTCTTCACCGTTCACAGGATCCTGGATGTTCGACGACGGGGTCGTGGACATCAGTTTTTAGTTGATTGGGAGGGTTACGGCCCTGAGGAAAGATCGTGGATCCCCAGGTCCTTTATCTTGGATCCTGGTCTCATCAAGGACTTTTTTCTAAAACACCCTGACAAACGTCTCCGATCGCCTAGAGGCAATGTTTGAGGAGGGGGTACTGTTAGGCCTGTGCCGGTTGTGTGTACTCACCCTGCAATTGCTGAGTGCTGGTGATGGAGTTCCTGAGCAACCACCTGTCTTCAATCCGGTTGATGAGTCCAGCTGCTACTTAAGCCTTGGAGGAGGTTCCAGTCTTCGCTGAATCATTCAGTCACCTTGGGTACTGTGAGACAGCCATTTTAGTGTTTTCTCTCGTGAACCTGTGTTGATCAACCTGTGTCTCCCTGTGATTTTAAGGCAAGACCTGGACTCACCTCCAAGATCTGAGACCTAGACGAATCTTCTCCAAACTGGACTCATTTCCTGTGGAACCTCATCACCCAGCGGGACACTCCTCCATCAGCCGCCACCTACAAGAAACTCATCAAGTCACTTGGAAAATACAAGGTGTCACGGTCAGCGGCCCCCGCTGCCCCCCCCATCTGCCTAAGCCTCTGCCTTCTCCTTCAAGCTGCAACCAGGAACCAACATTAATATCTTCAAACAATCATCCCACAAACTAAATCATTTCCTTCCTTTTCAAGGTGCTTTGATCCCTGCCTCATGTATAGTGGTGTTCTCATTGTGCTTTGTAAATGTGTCACTTTAATTACATTCTGAGTTCTGTTTGACAGGTTCTGTCTCTGTCTGCTCTTTATATTTTTGTTGTTCTGCTCTGTGTGTGATTTTCTGTTTATCTGATTCTGTTATTTTCCACTCACTCCTCAGTCTGCCTCTCCACTCAGTCTTTATCATTCACACCTGTTCCTCATCAGCCACCTGCCCAGGTGCTCTCATTACTCACTCTCCCTCTGTTATATAAAAAGCCTTTCTCTCCTTCACTCCTTGTCCGGTGATTGTTCTGTGTTTACAGACATCTCAGTCCTCTTCTGTCTTGTCTGTTTCTTGTCCACCTGATTATCTGCTCTGCCTTGTTTCTGATCCTATCTGCCCAAGTAAGTTTTGCTGCACCGACAGCCTTTTGTTTTGTTGTTAAAAAATAAATTGTTTTTGTTTTTGAACTCCTGCCTCGCTCGCCTCTCTGCAATTGGGTTCCAACACTGAGGATCGTGACAACAAGGTTTCATTCACCCAACAGACACCTCGCCTACCTCCCTGAGTCTGCCTTCGAAGATCCACCTGTAAGAGAAGGATTCAATTATCCAAAGTAGCAACAATATTCTCCTACCCATCATTAATCTGTCTTCCCCTTTTTTCCCCTCCCTTCCAGGAACTCAGACTTCCTGTTCCCCAGCACTGTAAATAAACTCACTGAACTTTTATACCGTGTCTGTAATCCTTCTCAGCTCTGGTCTGAATTTGAGTACGATTCCTGAGATTTACCCTAACA